AAATTGCCATATGAATGAGGGTTAAAGATAATTGTTTTAAATACATGGAAAGACTTATATGAACTGACATAGAGTGAAATGAGCACAGTCAGAAGAAATATGTGAATGTATACATATATATGTATATATACACACACACACACATAATATCAGTATTATAAAAATGAACAGTTTTTCCTTGCTGGCTCTCTGGAATGGCCTTCCCATTAGACAGTGGGAATGTCAGTGGGAGCCTGTGATGTTAGGGCCTTCTTTCTGAGATTAATGAATTGAACTTAAAATAATAATTTAATGATAAGTTAATAATTTAAATTAATTAATTGAACCTGTTTATATTTTGTTTCTACATAATTGTTTGCATATTGTATCCACCATTAGATTATAGATGCTTCTTAAGAAGCAAAAACTGTTTTTTCTCTTTGCATCCCCAACACTTAGCACAGTTACTAACATGCTGTTGTTCAGTCCTTTTTTAATCATGTCTGACTCTTCATGACCCCATTTGGAGTCTTCTTGGCAGAAATATTGGAGTGGTTTACCATTCCCTTCTCTAGCTCATTTTACAGGTGAGGAAACTGAGGCAAACAGGGTTAAGTGACTTGCCCAAGGTCACACAGCTACTAAGTGTCTGAGGACTGATTTGAACTCCGGAAGATGAGTCTTCTAGACTCCAGGCCAGGCACCACCTAGCTGGCCTCCTTTTCAGAATAATGATGCTTTAAAAATAATAATCAAAGGAAATATCAAATTTCAGTTAGGGATTAATGAAAATAAATGTGTAATTTGTTTGAGTTTTTTCCCATTCAAGTTCATGGACCTTCTGAAATCTATCCATGGACCCCAGGTTAAGAAGCCCTCTTCTATGGCTAAATATTTCATCACTGAATGATCAGCCTACTGGTCCTGAGCCTGTAGGTACTAAGCTCGATTGATTCTCAGAAAGCAGAGACTGTTCCTGGGACTGTATCCAAAGCCTTTCCATCATACTGGAACCTGCCAGACCTTTCGAGACACTGTCATGACCTTCCAAAGTTCAGGATCCCTCCCATGCCACAGTGAGGCTTTGGAGTAGGTCAAATTAATAACAACAACAACAACTAGCATTTATATAGTGCTTTAAGATTTGCAAAGCGCTTTACAAATATTAGTGCTGGGCCTGGAGTCAGGAACACCTGAGTTCTGAAATTCTGAGAAGGTGCCCATTGGTTTCACCAGACAGCCAAAGGCATCCATGACACAAATAAGCTTAAGATGCTCTGCCACAGAAAAATAGAACCTGCTCATTCTTTCAAAAACATTAACTGCCTCCTATATTCAAGGCACTGTGGGCAATTTAAAAATTAATTAGAAGTAGTGCCTGCTCTTAAAGGTCTTTTAGTTCGGCAGGGGAATTTATAATCCATTATATCAGGAGACAGTGTGGTGATATTGTCATAGAAGCATAAATGACTCTGAAAATTGGGTGGAATCCAGTTGGATACGCAAATACACAGATGTTCACAGTACTTTTTCCAGCAGACAAACATACATGTTCAGCTTGGGTCCCCATCCTCAAAACCAATAGATACAAAGACTGGTTCCCTTTATAGGCAAACTCCATGTGTTAGCTCAGACAAAGACACACACACACACACACACACACACACACACACACACACACACACACACATACTAGTTCCTTAGTATTACTCGGCTCTTTAAACTTCAGATTCTTTCTCCAACTCCATCCCTCAGGTTCCCACCTTTCTCCTTCTACTTCTTTTGTAGATATAGATGAGACTTTATTAAGTTAGCTGTCGACCATTCTTCAGGCTCCACAATTCAATTTATTTACACCTCACTCAAATTAATTGATGCAGAGCAGGTACAACATGCCTGTGTGAGGGTCTTGGAATAGTGACCAAAAAAACCCACCTCAGGATACTGCATTGTTCTAATTATATTAGATTGGAAGAAGAGCAGAGAAGTTTGAATAGAGAATAGGAAAGGCTTTAACTAAAAAATTTTCTCTCCCTTTTCTTCAGTTTTTTCATGTGGGAGGAAAAATCTCAACTAAGTCCCTGGTAAAACCAAAGCTAATTCTTTCAAGATGGGTTTTACCAAGAATGCTAACAGTATACTACATAGAATGGTGACCATTTACTGCTATGTGGCCCAGGTGCTAAGATATGTTCATTCCTATTTTAGTCTTTCTATACAGGCCTACTTCAATTTTTAAGTTATCTTAATCACCTCCATAAAGTCCTGCTTGGATGCTTCATTGTGGCATAGAAGTGAACCTGAGTTCTTGAAGGTGGGGCCAACAGATCATAAGTTCTGGGAGATTTTACCATGCTAGAAAGGGTTCAAGTATGGTCTCAGTATTAAATTACGCCTGCTTTCTGAGGGTCAACCTACCTGAATACGGAGAGGCCCATCACTAAGTAGTAGACTGGCCACTCAGTGATGGATCCGTCGGACACAGCAACCCACAAAACAAAGAAAAATAAAACATGGGCTTCAGTCTTATGTTGCCAAGAGGCAGAAATAGTAGAAGATAAAGGTCCCCCTTTTAAATCATATATAAACATTAACCTATTGATCATCTGGATATGGGATCTTTTGTAGTAAACAATAAATAAACATAATACTCGGGAACCGAATTCTACCAACCTTGACATTCTCAATTTAAATGAAACATTCTCATTTTAAATGAGATGAAAAAAGAGTTTCCATCTAAATAGATGAATGGCTCACAGGTTCCCCTTAAGGAGAGGAAATGAAGTTGACAGAGTTGGTTTCATCATGAATCCAAAGGCAACAACCAGAAAAATTTCATGAGGCATTCGGTCATCTCACTTAAAGGGTTTATGAGCGTTTGCAAAAAAGGCTATCATGAAAATAGCTGCAGATTACTGCCAATTTCTGTTGCACAGAGTGAGGAGACAGAGAAATTCTGTGAGAGACATAAGGCCCACCAAATTAAAGTCAACATTTATTTTAATACTTGACTTTGATGCCAAGGTGGTCATAGACAAGAATGGTGAAAAATACTTTGGAAAAAATGATAGCTAACATAAAGTGCTTTAAGGTGTGCAAACTTCTTTATGTGTCATCTTCTTTGATCCTCACAACAGCCCTATTAGATAAGGAAGGTATTATTATCCCTATTTTTTTTGTTGTTGTTCACTTGTTTCAGTAGGGTCTGACTCTTCCTGACCCCATTTGTGGTTTTCTTGGCAAAGATACTTGAAGTGTTTTGCCATTTCCTTCTCCAGCTCATTTTACAGATGAGGAAACTTAGGCGAACAGGGCTGCATAGCTAGTGAGCGTCTGAAGCCAGTTTTGAAAATTCAGGAACTTGAGTCTTCCTGACTCCAAGCCCAGCACTCTATCCACTTTGCCACGTACTTGTTCCCATTTTACAGATAAGTTAAGGCTAGGCACAGATAGGTTAAAAAGTGTCTGAGACTGGATTTGAACTCAGGTCTTCCTGATTCTAAGTCTAGCACTCTTCTGTACCTACTGTGGTGACAAGCTGTTTCTTCAGTAGCTTTCTGTTAGGGAGATTTGACACTCTAGTTTGAGAAAGGGGTCAGAAACAAAGAACAAGAAGTGCTTGAGCTCTCATTCAGCATCCCACGATCCTGCTGCTTTGAACAGACCACCTCAGCCTTAGACACAAAAAGTGAAGCCAAGGTACTCATGGCACTGAATGAGGTCAGTAGAGAATGTCAAACAAACTTGAGTTTGTGAATGTCATGGAATATTGCTGAGCTTTGAGCTCATAAAAAAGAATATAAGAGTTCAGGAAAATGTGGAAAGACAATGAAAAGAAGAACAATACTGGCCAACATTTATGTGGAATTCTAAAGTTTTGCAGAGTGATTTATCTCATTTGATCCCCACAATAATTTTGTGAGGTGGATGCTATTACCCCTCTTTTACAGATGAGGAAACTGAGGCTGAGAGAAGTCAAATGACTTTGCCTTAATCACATAGCTAGTGAGTGTCTATGACAGGATTCTAACTCAGATCTCCCTGACCTCCTCCAGCATGCAACCTGGTCAACCACCTAGTATGAAAAGATGCAGAGGGAGGTAAGGAGAACCAGGGGGATGTGAGTGTATATAAGGAAATGACTGTTAAAATAAAAGGTATTAAAACTTTTTTCAAGCCAAAGTCTCAGATAAGATGGCCTCTTAAGCATCCTTTCTAAAAGCTTTGAAACTAAAGGAAAGAAGCAGAATTTTTGGAAGAGAAAAGCTAAACATAAGGAAAACCCTTTTGATTTTGAGGATTCATGACTTGCATAGATTGGTTCTCCATCTCTGGAATTCTAAGGAGTGGATAAACGGGCACTTGACGGGAGTCATTTCAGTGTAAACCCATCTTGAGGAGAGGTAGTTTGAAGTCGGAGATGACAGCTGGTATAGTGGTCTCCACTGGAGTCTTTTCAGCCCTGTGACCTCCGGTTGGCAGCCAGAAAAAGTGGTCCATATGGGCATAAGAGGGAAAGAAATAGGTTGTGCCCCTGCAACAGCCAAGCGTGTGTGTGTGTGTGTGTGTGTGTGTGTGTGTGTGTGTGCGTGTGTGTGTGTGTAAATCATCCAATTGATAAAGTAAACTGCTGGGTACTTGGATTGTCTCAGGAAGCTTAGAATCGCCAGGGGAAACATCCCAGTTCCTGGGCTTGGCAGGGCTTGGCTCGGGTATCACCACCACAGCATCCACGGCTGCCCCCGCCCCATCAGTACTTGGCCGGGCCGGACCGCGGGAAGGAGGCGACAGCCACTCGCCACGGCCCTAGAGGCCTGGAGAAAGGATGGGGGTCGCGGGGAGTGGAGTGGGGGTGGCGGGCTGAGGGCTCCCCTCACCCCAGCAGCTCTGCGCGCAGGGCTTGTCCGCCCTCCTCCTGCGGGCCCCGACAGCCCCCCAGCCCCGGGCGGCCCCGGGGAGGCGTTGACCTGCAGCGCCCCGAGAGGTCAGGCTGCGTGGGGCTGGAAGGAGGGGGCGGCGAGGCCGCGGCGAGCAAAGTCCAGTGCCCTGGGCCTCGGCCGTGTCCGAGGGAGCTGGGTGTTCTCAGAGCGGGACGGACAACTTGGAGGTGAGCTGGGGGCCCAGGCGCACGCGGACGGCCCCGGCCCGGGGACTCCGGGCCTCCGGACTCTGGGTGGGCATTACAGGCGTCCCAGGGAGGGCGAAAGAAAACGACCTGCGCGGGGGGCACTGCCCGAGCAGCTGGGGACCCCTCCTCCAGAGGGATCCACCTCATCCAGGGAGGTGAGGGAGGAGGATCGGATGGGGAGAGGATGATGGGCGTGGGGGATGGGGAGGGAACAGGTCCTGGATGGAAGGAGACAAGTGCATGTGCTCTTCAGTCCCGTGCTTTTTTTTCCCCAGGCAGGCTGAGATGGACCGTGAGGAGGGAAGGAACGGGATCGCCGGCAGCTCCTCGGGAGCCGAGGGTGCCTTTGAACTAGCCACCACCAGGTCCGTACACCCGTCCTTCCATTTAGTTACCGGTGCATAATGTCTAACTTGGCCCAGGAAAAAAAATCAGAAGAATCTCTTGCTGCCCTTCTTTCATTCGGCATCTATAAAATAAAGCGCCCCCCTTTAGAGCCTTTGGGGAGGATTGTCTGGAGATTTTGACCTTGGAGCAAAAGTTTTTTGCTGTTGTTGTTGCTGTTTGGTTTTGTTTGGGAAGCTCCCAGCATCCAAGTGGCAGCATCTGCCAGTCTCCTTCCGGAGGAGGATTGGAGAAGAAAAGGCTGCCCTTCTTGTCTCTATTCCTGCCAGGAAAGCCTCAGACAAATATTTGTGCATAGATTACATTTGTGAAGCCAGAGAGTTTTGTAGTGATATGTATGCACCTTCAAAGAATCCATGTCTAAGTCTTGTGGGTCTTTTTTTTCCTCCTGTTTTTTGTCTTTTGGGTGCTTTCTTTTATTTTATTTTATTAAAGAATGAAGAGGAAAGAAGGTCAGCCCTGCAAATGGTCATATTCCCTCCCCCAACGTCCTTTCCCCCTTTGGAAAGGGGCCTTTCTGCAGCAGTCTTTCTCCCTGAGTAGCTACTGTTTGGTTCCAATTCAGGCGTGCTTGAAGTGAGAGGGTGAAAAACCCTGAGCTCTGTTTGGCTAAGTACATGGGGCACCACGGACTTAAGCTTTGAGAAAAGTATCATTTTGGTCTCGGATGGGAGCAAGCATCTCTGGGAATGGTTTGTAAGTAAAGCTCATAAGCCTTGAAAGGCCTCTCACGTAACTATACTGCCTTTTTCTTAAGTAGGTAGAAGGAATCCCCTTTTCATTTAGATCCAGGTAGTTAATGAAACTATTGCTTATAGTGTCCGAGTTCATGCCAGGCCAACCAGAACTAATTGAACTACTTGGCCAAATGATCAACCCAGGAAGACATCAGTTTCACTGGTTATTCCTTCAAGCTTTCTAGGACTGATTAGTTAACTGAAAATGTGCCCCTTTGGTGTGAATACTGGCTGATAATTTTGCTATCATTTTTTAGGATCATAGGATTTTAGGGCTGGAAGAGACCTTGGTGATTACGTAGTCTAACCCTCCCCTGTTATGTATGAAGAAACCCTACACCCAGAGAGTGAGACAAGTTTCTTTAACTAGAACGCCACTGCTCTTACCATCATATCACACTGCCTCATTCTACATGAAGAACTGCCATTTTTTTTCCTCCTCAGCATCTGTGGCAAAAATCCATAGAACATTTCATTTTACTGGCTATTTATTTCAGTACTTCAGACTGGGATTTTGTGTCTTTGGGTGCTCCTACCCACAGAAATTGACTTCTTTTACAATTTAATGGTAGTTTTGGTCAAATAATTCTTCATCCTTCAGCTAATCTAGACACAAATCTTTTGAAATTTATCTGAGCTTATCTTCAAATGATAGCCAGACAATATATTAGTGATTCTGGGCCTTCCTTATGTTTTGTAGAATCTGCTGGACCATGTACTCTCTTGACATAGCGCTTGAAAACCCAGGGTGACTTTCTCTCAACAGATACATTAAAGTAAGATTTCAGTGGAATTTTCCTGGATAGTATTAAGCTGAACAGATGGCTTGAACAGCTAGGTGGTACAATAGATAAAGTGTCGGGCCCTGAGAACAGCCTCTGACAGTTACAAGCAGTACATCCTTGAACAAGCCACTTAACCTCTGCCTCAGTTTCCTCAACTATAAAATGGAGATTATAAAATCACCTATTTCACAGGGTTGATGTGAGGATCAAATCATAAATTTTGTGAAGTGTCTGGCACATAGTAAACACTATATAAATTCTAGCTGTTTTATTTTATTTTTATAGTATAAAATTATAATTGTAGAAACTTACAAAGTTCAAAGGCAGTGTGGCATAATGGATAAAGATAATTTCTAGTCTCTCATTCAGGAAATCCTGCTTTGTGACCTTGGGCAAATCATTTAATCTCCTGTTTCCCCCAGATAACTCTCTAAGGCAGGGATTCTTAACTTTTTCTGTGTCATGGACCCCTTGGGAAATCTGGAGAAGACTGTGGACCCCTTCCCAGAATAATGGTTGTTTTTTTTAATGATGAAGGAAATGCTAACTTTCAGTTAAAAGTTAGGAAAACTCCCACCCATGTTCACAGACCTCCTAAAATCTACTCAAAGGGTCTGTTGGCCCAAGGTTAAGAACTTAGGCTCTAAAAGTGTATTGTTCTTGAGCTGACACTGATCTACATTGGTAGAAGTTATGTACATCATTGAAATCAGAAGTATAATCCCCTAAAAACATTTAACCTGAGAGGCAGAAGTGGCCCAGTACATAAGATGCTGGATCCGGAGTCATAAAGAACTGATTTTAAAACCTACCTCTCACAAGCTTTGTGACCTTGGGCAAGTCACAAACTTATTGTACTTAAGATTACTCCCTAGCTCTTACTGACCAAATTGCAGACTAGATGGAATGTGCTTTGGTGGATGATGTTCCTGTACCAGGAATTCCTCAAGATTCTCATATCGTATTCATCGTTAAAATCAACAGTGTTAATTTGAAGGTAGAGAAAAATAACAGATGGTGCGACAGAGGGACTAATCATGAGTCAGTGACTATGTAACATTTTCAGTGACACAGAATTCATAGATTGAATTGGTTGAACATTTTATGAGTTCCTGCCATGGTTCTGATCATGAATAATAGTGCTATGTAATAAGGATGCAAAGCAGAGAGAAGCTCTTTCTCTTGCAGGGCTTAAGGTTTCACATTTCCCTCAAGGAGGGAAGTATATATGGAGAAGGCTAAGTATAAACTTGGATTGTAAAGCATAGGTACTTAATCTTTATTGTTGTCATGGACTCCTGTGGCAGTCTGATGAAGCCTCTGGGTACCTCAGAAGAATGGTTTTGTTCTGCATGAAATAAAATATATAGGGTTACAAAGGAAACCAATTATGTTGAAATAGAGTTATCAAAATATTTTTTGAAATAGGTCCAAAGACCTCAGATTAAGAACCTCTGCTTGTAAAGTATCAATGATGAAATTCTCTCACCCAAGAAAGTCTTTTTTTTATGATGGCTGTATTCTCATCACACCCCTTGCCTGGCTCTACTCTATCTTATCACACCAAGTTTGTCTTGCCCCAGTGCATAAGCACTGTTATGGGACTGGACATAGTTCATCCCACTGGAACTAGAGACAGTGCATTGGTGAGGTAGTGTTGGTGGAAAAACCACTACCAACTCCAGAGCTTGCTCTTGAAGGCTGGCTTCCATTTCCTCTTCTTAAATCTGTAGCCGTGCCAATGTACTAGATTACTGGGCAGCAACCCATAACTGCCACAATTCTAAGATCTCTTGGGCTATTCATCTCTTTTAGCCATCCTTGGTTATTAGGGATGGGCAAGGATTCAGTGTTTGTGGCCCAAGGGTTATGAGGTGAATGATAGCAGGAGGGGTACTCCTAACAAGATCACAAGACTCGTCTCATGAGTGATGGGGAAAGGGATTCATCAACCCCACCAACCAGTTTCAGGGATGGTCTTTTGGTTGTGGAGGTTACATGAGGATAGGGAGACCTGTTCCCCCAACTCTAAGAGCTAGTGAATACCTAGCTGACTTTAAATTCATACGCTGCTCCAGCTGCCTGTAGAGTATGTTGTAGGTAAATCTCAGTAATCTCCAATTCCCATTGGTAGCCATTAACTGCAGGGATTGGTATGCAAGGGCAAGGAAAAACTGGGTTAGGGTATAAATAAATAAATTAAAATAGCATTTTAAGAGAATACTTAAAACTTCAGCCATATTATACTGCACATTTCTGTAAAAGGGAACCAACCAAATTAATAAAAAATACTTGTTTGTCCTCTGTCTCCTGTCGGTTCTGTTACCTTTGATTTTTTCCCTCTATATTTAAAATACATAATTGTAGTCAATGTGTATACTGCTCTGGTTCTGCTTGCCTTTCTTTGAATCGCTTTGCAAAAGTCTTTCCATATTTCCTTCTATAACATGGCATAAATATTTATAATTCCCATTAAATTAATGTACTATAATTTATTTAACCATTCTCCAATCATTGAGCATATACATTGTTTCTTATTTTTCCTGTTAACAAAGAAAGTGGCTATTAATATTTTTATATCAATAGGACTTTTTCATGATCTCTAGGCTAAATCAAGCAATTAGAAAGCATTTATTATATACTTACTACATGTCAAATGCTGTACTAGATGCTAGAAAAGGCATAGCAATGGAATTGATGGCACTTTGACTTTTATCATATATTTTCATGTTGATTTTCAAAAAGGTCATAGCAGTCTACAATACCACCAACAATGTAATTCACCATTGCAATAAATATTTGTTAAGTAACTACTGTGTAGCACTAGGTGCTACAATAGAGTACTTGTTTCCCCACAGCTCCTAAAGCATTTGATTTTTTAATTTTTTTTACTATTTTTGAGAATTTAGTGAGTATAAGCCCCTATAGTAAGGTTATCTTGATTTGTATTTCTCTAATAAGAAATCTAAGCATCTTTTCAGGTAGCTATTAGCAATTTGTATTTCTTACTTCAAAAATATGTGTTTAACAATTTCTCCAGTGGAGAAAGTGTTTTATTTTTACAGATATACATCAGTTCCTTATACATTTAGGTATCAGACTTTTATCTGCACTTATTGAAAATTTTTTTCGGTTAAAAATTATTTTAGAGTTTTTTTTCACAAACTCCTTTTTATGTAACCAAGCCCATCAATTTAACCTACAAAAACATCTTCTCTTTGTTTAATAAAAATGTACTTCCTTCCCATAATTGAAACAAATATTACTTTTCCTCTGTTTTGAATAATTTTTAAAATATTTAGATAATTGATCCAGTAAGATTTGTTGCCAAGTGTGGTACATGATGAGAGGCAGCCTGGCATGGTCGCTGGAGGGCTCGCTTTGGAATTAGGATGACCTGATTTCTAGCCCTGTCTCTGACATATGCCAGCTGTGGGA